CAACTCCCCAATCACTTTGCTTAATAGTTACTTCCTTCTTCTGCACCCTACATTTTTTTAAACAATCTTTTAGATTTATAAAGTTCCCCTAGGGACCAGTATATTCATTATGACAGAGGATCTCAACATTTTTAGGCTCATGGAACCTCTCAGCAAAAGTCCATTCTTAGCCGTCATTATTTTTTGACAGTAGAAAAATAACAGCAATTTTTCCTGCTGCAAAGAACTCAGAAAGACCATACATAACAGGTTAGAAAGTTTTTGATACTATGGAGTCCTATTTAAAATCTGTAGGTTGATTTTGCAAATTGTGTAGGCGTTTCCACACTTGACAAGGTTAATATTACATAATAACCTATGGAACACTTAAAGAATCTTGCGACACCCTGGTTGAAAATCATTGTACTAGGAGATCAACTAATCGTCCTTATTTCCCTCCCCACCTCCCAGTGAAATCATCTGAATACTTGCCTCTTATAGAGAAGCTGTTGTCGAACTGGCCTTGGAAGAAGTCTGATCAACATGTGTTTTTTCAATGGATCATTTAGAAAATCCTCAAGACCATCCACCTAGAGTTATTTAATAGAAAATTAACCAAATAAGACAACTGACTAAAATTTAAATGAGAACATGGTCAGCTGATGACTACATTCAGAAATTAGTTTAAACAAATACCAGTACTGGTGTACACAATGCAGCTTTCTAGCCATCTTACTTTGCAAAAGGAAGGTTCTACAAGAGCATTAGGTTAAGAACCAGGAACTCTGCAGGGCTGGACATCATCCAGTCACTGACAAGCGATTATTTTCTTCCAGAAAACCAGAGAAACGAAAAAGTTTCTATTGACTATGATAGCATGAGCTAAGTGCACTTGCCCTGCTTTGTAAGGTACTGTCATTAACACTGAATATTACATTATACCAAATATGAAGCAGAAGGAAGCACAGTACCTTGTAACTGACTTGCACTATCTGGACAAAGATGGAGAGAGGTAGGCAGAGAAGAATGTCACTGACAAGAGCCCAGCCATATCCAAATTCCCTGTGTACTGGCAGAGGAGGAATATAGCGCATCCATGAAGCATCATCCACATACACTAGAGAAAGAAGGTTAGTTTAGTCACAGAACAAACCTTTAGGACTCGCTTCCTGCATCACCTTGGAATGTGTGCAGCACTGGAAATCTAAAATTAAGTTTTGTAAATGGAAGCATAGGAATGGCAACAGACTTTGTGTAGCAGTCTGTCTAGTCCTACAGCAGCAGCCTGCTGAAAACCAGCGCACAGATCTGGGGGCCCGTGCCCCCTCGGAAGACCTGGCAAGAGCTGGGGAAGTGATCAGAGAGCTGGGGGAAGCAATCAGAGCTGGGGAATTGAACCATGGGCTGGGGGAATGTTCAGATCCCTGAACATTTCCCCAGTTCCCAGTCGGATTCCCCAGCTCCCCGATCTTTTCCCCAGCTCTTTCCGGGCCCCCAGATGATGTGGGATGACAGTAGACTGCTGCTGCCAGCTGATGATGGCTATTTCCCCAGCTGGCAGCAGCAGCCCG